TGGAGAAGATGAAAAAAAATTGGATTATTCATACATTGCTGGTAAGAATGTAAAATGGTAAGTCACTCTGGAAAATAGTTTGGCAGTTTCTTATAGAGCTAAACATGTCGTATCATATGGTCTAGCAATTGCACTCCTGGGCATTAACCCCCAAAAATGAACACTTACATTCACACCCAAATCTGTACACGAATGTTCATAGAAGTTTTATTCATAATAGCCCCAAACTGGAAACAACCTGAATGTTCTTAAGTGATAAATGGTCAAACAAACTGTGGTATATCCATGCCATGGAATACTATTCAACAATAAAAAAGGATGGACAATTGATATACATTACAAGTTGGATGGATCTCAAGGGAATTGTATACTACAAGCCAATCTCAAAAGGTTACATATTGCATGATTCCATTTATAGAGCATTCTTGAAATGAAATTCAGATGGACAACAGAGCAGTAGTGCCAAGGGTTAAGGCCCAGGGGAAGGAGGTAGGAGGTGTGGAGAAGCCAGAAGCTTCTCCATATCAGGGCCATATCAGGGTAGCACGACGGATCTTTGTGGTGATGGAATGGAGTTCTATATTTGGTTATGGTGGTGGTTACATGAATCCACACATGATAAAACTGCACAGAACACACACGAATGAGTACACATAAAACACGAAATCTGAGTAAGGTCTGTGGATTGCACAAGTGTACACTTCCTGACTGTAAGTACTCAAGTTACATTGGGGGAAACTTGATGAAAGGTACAGGAAACTTCTGTATTTTTTTAAATACCTTTACTGAGATAGAATTCACATACCATAGAATTCATCCAGTTAAGGTATATGATTCACTGGATTTTGGTATATTTATAGTTATGGATAACTATTACCACAACTTTAGAACATTTTCATCACTTCAAAAAAAAAATCCTGTACCTTTAGCTACCCCTCTCCTTCCCGCCTCCACCTGACCCCACTCCTAAGCAACTTTCTGTCTCTATAGGTTTGCCTGTTCTGGCCATTTCATATCAATGGAATCAAACAGTACACTGTATTTTGTGATGCTTCTTTCCCTTAGCATAGTGTTTACAGTTCATCCATCCTGTGGCATGTATCAGTCCACTGCATTTCTTTCTTATGGCTGAATAATACTGCACCGTATCAGTGTATCACAGTCTGTTAATCCACTCATCAGTTGATGAACATTTGGGTTGTTTCCACCTTTGGGCTAGATACTGTTATAAACACTCACGTACAACCTTTTCTGCAGACATATGCCTTGAATTCTCTTGGGTATATATACCTAGGGGTGGAATTATAGGTCATATGGCATCTCTGTGTAATCGTTTGAGGAACTATCAGACGTTTCCAAAGTGGCTGCACCGTTTTACATTTCCACCTGCAGAGTATGAGGGCTCCAGTTTCCCGACATCCTCACCTATACTTGTTATTATCTACCTTTTTTTAAAGACTTTTTTTATTGGGAAATTGGAACAGTGCTGGGGAATCAGGGGAAGGGGAACAGACAAGTTGCTGTCCTTGTTCTTCAGTCTTGTTGTGGAGGACGTTGCTTCACTGGCCCATGTTGGTATTTTTGCGCTCTTCCTGGGTGAGGCAGATTGGTCGCCGGCCTCTGGGCAGCCGCTCACAGCGGCTCTTGGCCGCTCACGCTGGCTGCCTGCCACACATGGTAGCTTATGGAAGCCCACTGCTGCAGGGGCTGCAGCTTACGCTGTCGCCGGCGACTCACAGCAGCCCTAGCTCCAGATTGAGCTGTTCTTCACCATCTTAGGTGTAGAGGGCAGTGTCACTGGCCCTCATGTGGGATCCGAACTGGGGCCCTGATGCTCAGAGCTGGCGTCCCAAGCCAGCTCTTAACCAATGTGCCACTCGGTCGGCCCTATTATCTACCTTTTTGATTCCCTGTATTATTTTCACACTTTCTGTGAATTTATTATTTCAAATAATTAAAAAATGATTCCATGTACCTTGTTATAAGATAAACAATCACAGCAATAAATAATAATTTTGTTCCTTCATTTCCTAAAGTTATACTTAAAAAACAATTTTTTTTTTACTATCTTAACTGCATTTTCAGGAACTTCCAAAACTATGTTGAAGGGTAAGATGTTAAAGGGTAACTTGTTCTGATCCCAATTTTTGTCAATTTCTCTCTAGCATTTCTTTATTAAGTGGGATATTGATAAGAAGTTTGAAATGCTCTGTCATGCTGAAGAAGCACACTTATATTCCAGCATTTTAAGGACATTTTTATAATGAGTGGGTGCTAAATTTTATCAAACACCTTAGTGTCTTTATATAAAGTGATCATATGATGCCTTTTTTTCTTCCAGCTTTACTGAAATATAATTGACATATAACATTGTGGAATTTTAAGGTGTACAATGATTTGATACACATATATTTTGCAAAATTGTTACTCCAGTGAGGTTATATCTTTCACTTTACTTAACTACCACTTTTTGTCGTTATGTTGAGAACATTTAAGATGTATTGTCTTATCAACTTCCAAGTATATAATACACTATTGCTAACTATAGTTACCATCATGTACATTAGATCTTCAGAACTCATTCCTCTTACAACTACAAGTTTGTGCCCTCTGATCAACATCTCATTTCCCCCACCCCAGTCCCTGGCAACCACCAATATACTCTGTTTCTGGGATTTCAGCTTTTAAAAATTCCCCATATAAGTGGGATCATATGGTATTTGCCTTTGTCTGACTTATTTCACTTAGTATAATGCCCTCAAGATCCTTCCAAGTTGCTGTTAATGGCAGGATTCCCTTCTGTTCTATGACTGAATAATATTACACTGCACACACACGCGCACACACACTTTTATTTGTTCATTGATGGACACATAAGTTGTTTCCATTCCTTGGCTATTGTGAATAACGCTGCAATGAACATGAGGGTACAGATACCTCTTTGAGATAGTGATTTCACTTTCTTTGGATAAACATCCAGAAGTGGAAACCCTGGATCACATAGTTCTATTTTTAATTTTTTGAGGGACCTCCATACTGTTTGCAATAGAGGCTGCATCACTATCCCTGAATTATTTCTGAATTCTCAGTTGTATTACTTTTAAAGCAGGGCAAACAATGGTCAAGTAAATCAAAATCAATTTAAAAATAAAATGTATACTAAATAGGACCACTGAGCACAAACATTAAAGTAAGCAATGTTTTCACTTTATGTGACAGAAATAAAATTAATGAAAACCAAAATTTTAGTCTCTAATATGTATATGAAAGATGTCAGTGCTGCCTACCTCCTTGAACCTGACTTCTCTTCAAAGAGATGGGGGTTGGGGGAGAGGGAGAGAAGAAAGGAATAGAGGAAGGAAAGAAAGAAATTTCTATTACTTTCTTATTTTGCCTGAAATACTTTTATAACAGAGAAGTCTTCATTTAACCAAATCTTCAAGACCCTGCAATAACCAGATCTGTGTTCTGCCTCCCAGTATCCTACTGGACATGGACAGATTTTGTTCAGGTGCTAAATTGTCTTTGGAGAACAAATTTTTTTTTCTGCCACTTGCTGTTCAATGTCTCTTACTTTCTAATTACATGTAGTTTGCTGTGTGCTATTTATTTTCCTAAATTTACTGACTTGTGTGCACATCACTGAAACTGACTCTGTAAAGTCTGATGACATTAATGGAAAATGACGTGAACGCAAGAAATGAATTTCATACATGAAAGATTACAAAAAAACTCAAAATAGATGGAATGTCAATGGAAGCTAATATCAGTGCACATGCTGAAAATTTGTTTAATCTCTGTCCTTATAAGGTGTTGGAACTCAGCTGCCACCTATTCCCCTTCAGAACAATGAATAAAAACAAGTTCTGCTAAAACAAGTGGATCTCACCATGTGCTCATGGTGGGGGTGCAGAGCTAGGAAGGTGAAAGCAGGTCAAACAAGGTCACCCCAGTTAAGGGAGCACAGCCCAGTGCCTGGACACACAGGCTTCGGAGTCAGAGAGACCTGAACTGGAATCCTTATGACTCGAGCTGAGTCATTTCACCTTCCTGGGTTTCTGTTTCAGTATTTTTATAAGGATGTTAATAGTGATAGATCTGTTGTGTTGCTGATATTTAAATGAAAAATGCCTGGCCTATAATTACTGACTAAATGTTAGTATGATTATTATATTGGGAAATGGAAGTCATTATAACCTAAAAGGCATCAGCATGATTTAAAAACTTCAATGATAGGTTACAACTCACACTAAATATAAGAAACTCAATTTCCAAATTACCTTCCCCCAAAATGAAGTGATTCACCTATGTTTTCTTCATTTGCAAGGGCCTGGTATATTCTGGTGTAAAACTGAGAGCTATTTGAAAAAAAAAAAAAGATGGACTAAAATAGAGTATGTGGGCTCAGCATATGCAAAGGAGAAATGAAGCTAATGGGAGGGTTTATCATTCAACTGAAGAACACACCTATCAAGGGCTTCTCTCTGAAATTCACATGTTGAGTTTAAAAGACCCATCCATTTCCTTGTAGTAGGAAGACAAACAATTCTGATGAAAACAGATCTAAATACCATCGAAATCCCAAGACCCATCTATAAGGATACAAATTAAGTTCCATATTTAACCACAGGAATTCGGTTTAGTTTGCAGTGGTCAACAACCTTCTAAACTAAGTCCAGGGCACTCTTGATAGTCTTAGTGAAATATTCTCAAGGGAAAGGACGAGTGAAAGTAAACACACCGTCCTCAGTGGCTTTAGAGCCCTGTGAGTGAGCCAAGACACAGCCCCTTGGAGGCCTGCGGGCAGCCAGGCTCATGCACCAGCCTCAAACTTACACGCTTCACGTCTGTTCCACAGCTAAACTCAAGTCAGAATCGTCCAGATACTACATCTGCCAATGCTAGGGATCTCGGAACAACCAACCAACCTTAACAGCAAACAGTTTAACAAAAGAGAAAGAGGTGGCAGAAGCAAACACTCTCCACTGTGCCCAACTCACCTTCACCAGGAAAAAGGACACACCGTATGTCCGGAGGGACCGAGCAAGTTTGACGTACTTGACCTTGGCTTCAATTTCACTCATCTCTCCACAGTTCTTGTGTTCCTGCCAAAGTGATGGTAGCAGGGACCAGTTATTGCAGCTCGGCCAGCAGGTGGACTTTGGTGAGAGACAGTTACTGCATGTGGTGCAGAGAGAGTGGCTACGGCCGATTAATAAATGACATTTATGTGGGCAATCCCTCCACGACACATGTTCCCACTGACAGAAAGCTCTAATGTAGGGCTTCTTAACTAGAATTTCAGGCCAAGTCCCTACCGATTTCACAACTACTATGTGCACCAATTCATGCATGTGTAGTGTGGCAGGAACAAGGGTCCACAACTGTAATCCAATTTTCAAAGGAGTTCATGTCCCAAAAGGTTCAGAACCAACACTTTGAATGAAAGCCAGAAAAATGTTCTTGTCCAGGAGAACATTATCATGTTAACATCCATCCAAAGTAGCAGGTTATATAAATGCCTGTGCATCGCAGCACTGGAAATAATACGAGGTAAAAAAAAATATGCTTTATACACATGAAATTTATTTCAATTTATATTTACATTTCAACACCAAAGATGGCTTTGATAGTTTCAATTGACTAGCATGATTGTTTCAACTTTTCTTACTGGTTGCCTAGAATATACAACTCTGACTTTTGGAATAAACCTGGACTTTTAAAAAGTATTAGTTTCCAAAGTCTAGCTTCACAAAACAAATTTCAGGACAGAGCAGCAACTTGAGCTTCTTCGGTGCATTTTAATGGCAAATTGCCTTGTTTCAATGCTACCAAGATAATGCCTTCGAAATTAAATGTATGCACATTTTTCTCAGAAGGGCTAAGCAAACTGTAGTAAGAAGGTAAGGATTAAGATAATAAATCTGCCCAAAGTAGAACTGTCAGCTTCTTTACTCTTGAGCCACTAATCATTTATTATATAAGCAGAGTACGTGCATGGGGTATAAAACTATCATGTGCAGGGGCCCCTCTCATCCTAATAAATGAGGACAGGGAGTGAGGAGAATAATAAATTTACATTCCCAATACCTGAAATATTCTCTTTTCAGCTCCTCTCTGCTTGATGTATTCTTTGGGCAGGAATTCCTTTAGACTGAGAGAGAGAAAGGAAAAAGGTAAGGCATTTATCAAGTTCTATGATGAGAAGGAAAGAAAAGACTTTTCGTAAAACTTAGTTACTAACTTTCCCAGTATTTTCTGGTATAATTAATAACAAACTACCACTTCACACAATGCACTTAAATAGGATACAAATATAAAACCAGTCTGATAAGAAGGGCCAAGCTAACATAGTTAAATAAAAAAGAATTTCCAGGGTATATTGTCAAGTGACCACAAAGGGCACAAGAGTGTACAGTATCCTATCCTTTGTATGAAAGAGAGGAAATATTTTTCATTTTATATTAATATGTATTTTTAAAACAATAGAAGAATATACTGAGTACTAGTAAAAATGATTCTCTATGGGAATAAGGGAAAAACAGGGAGAAGGAAACAAGGATGAAAACTAAACCTCTGTAAATATTCCTTGCATTATACTTTTCATTTATCACAAAGGAGGAAAAAGCAACACCTAAAAACCTAAAGTGGGGCTGGCGGAGTAGCTCGTTGGTTAAGAGTTGGCTCGGAAGCCCAAGCCCTGAGCAGCAGGGCCGCCAGTTCGGATCCCACATGAGGGCCAGTAACACTGCGCCCTCTACAGCTAAGATGGTGAACAACAGCTTGACCTGGAGCTGGGCTGCCATGAGTTGCCAGCGATGGCACAGGCTGCAGTGGACTGCCATAAGCTACCATGAGCAGCCGGCAGCCAGCGTGAGCAGCTGGCAGCCGGTGTGAGCTGCCGTGAGCGGCCATCCAATGGCTGGTCACAGATCTGCCTCAGCCGGGAAGAGTGCAATGATAATACCAACATGGGCCAGTGAAGCGACGTCCTCCACAACTAGACTGAAGAACAAAAGGACAACTTGTCTGTTCTCCTCCCCTCAATTCCCCAATAAAATCTTCAAAACAAAACAAAACAAAAACCTAAAGCGAACTGAAACAAATGAACTTAATTTGGGGTTGTTGGAAAAGTCATGATGCATTTTTGCAACAAAAAACATATAAAAAATACATCATGACTTTTCCGACAACCCAACAGTATATCAAGTTAACAGCATACCTAAGGAGAAAATAATTATTTCAAGTAACACTGAAAAGCAGTCTCTTCACTATACATCACTAATGAGGTCTATCTTAAAGATGAAATGAACCATAGCAGACTTGTTAAGTATATATATCATTATTTTAAAACTAGCATTCTCCCTCCCTCATACACACACACACACACACACACACACACACACAGTCCCAAAAATGGATATTCATTTTAAGAATGGAAAAAACTGTACTAAAATTACATTGATGGTAACCACTTTGAGCACCTCTTGTAATCGCAGAAGTCAAATGTGACTTGTATTCATCTTTTGTTATTGGTATATATTATTATAATTTTAATACAGTTTTTTCCTTTCTTAAAATGGGCACCCTCTGTATATGTGTGTATATTTATATATAAATATTTATGTATATATACACACACTATAAAATTAGGATATTACATAAGTTTCATTATATACAAGTAATATGTTATATATAATTAAGGTAAAGTAATTATGTTAGTCATTAGTAACCAAGATTTTTAGCATAGAAGAGATAAAAGTATATTTTTAAATTTAAGTATAGTTAGTATACGATCTTATGTTGGTTATATTAGTCTCAAGTGTACAATATAGTGATCTGACATTTTTATACCTTACAGTGTGATCACCCCACTAATTCTAGAAATCATCTGTCACCATGTGAACTTCTCACAATATTACTGACTATATTCTCCTTCCCCTTTTCACCCATTCCCCCAACCCCTTCCTTCTGGTAACCATCCCTTAGGTCTCTGTTTCTTTAAGTCTGTTTTTATTGTGTTTGCTTTGCTTTGGTTTTAGATTCCACATGTAAGTGAAACCATATATAGAGCAAAAAAAGTTAAACGAAAATGCTGCAATCTTTCATTTGAATTGGAAATACTGACCTGCCTATCTGGTTCATTTTTCTTTTTCTGAAAAACATATTTTCTAGTTGTATCCTCTTAGGAAGCTAAGGACAAGGACAACCTGGTGGCATAAGCACCCCCAGCACCTTGACCAGGTGGTCTTCAAATACCCCCACTAAAAGAATCAGAGATCCTTGGAGAAATGACTGCTTATAGCTCTGGGGCAGGAAATGCATAAAATGTTCCTGGGCTTCTTATGCCTGAGATCAAGGAAGCTATGAAAATGACTGAAGCCAACACCAAGAAATAACCATTGGCCAAAAATAGTGCAATTTTTAAAACCTTATATAAAAGAAGAGAGAACAGTGTAACAAACCCACCACCCAGCTTCAACAATTGTAATTCATGGCCATTCATGAAACAGCTACTCCTTCACCCACATCCCCACCCCTGATGGGGCAATTTGAGCATCAGAAAGAATGATTACCGCAACAGGTAAAAACACAGATCTATAAAAATCCATAAAGATCTTTAAAATAATCATTGGTCACTTTAAGAGCTGGCTAGGGCACCAACTCATACTGCAAACTGATAAAGGGAAAGAAAGAAAGCTAATGAGTGCAAAAGGAATAATAGAAGTCCAAAACCATCATTTTACAACTCTTAATGAAATAAACAATAGATGAAAATAAGTATGAGTGGCTGCTAAAACCACTAGGTGACATGTTAATGGGGAACTTTATAATATATGGGTCAATCTGATCAAACCCCACTGATCAATTTTAACATGAATAAAAGTGGGATAAACAGACAACATATGCCTCCTGACTGATGAACAGGAAGTATATAGCACCAGCTAGGAAGCACTCTTTGCAATAAATAAAGAATAAGTAAATATATAATTGAATTTGAATTTAATTAAGACCCCAGATATAAATATTAGTTTATAAAAAGAAAGAAATAAGAACATGGTAAGTAATACTACCAGGATACAAACAGACAAATCCCAACATGGGACATTCTATAAAAATAACCCAGGCTCTTCACAAATAAATGTCTTGGTGGTGGAAGTGAAAGTAACAGAATGTTTTAAGAAACAGATACTACAAAGCTATAGTAACAAAGACAGTATAGTAGTGACATCAGAATTAGACATATAGGTCAACGCAATAGAATTGAGAATCCAGAAATTAACCTTTAACTTTACATTCAATTGATTTTCTTTTTTTAAAAAATTATAGTTGGCATACAATATTATATTAGTTTTGGTGTACAACATAGTGATTTGACATTTATTTATCTTATGAGGTGATCACCATACTAAGTCTAGTAACCTTTTGTCACCGTAATAGATTTCCAACAAGGGTGCCAAGATACTTCAATGGAAAAAAAATTAGTCTTTTTAACAAATGGTGCTGAGACAACTGGATATCCACAGGCAAAACAAAGAAATTGAAACCTCCTTCCTCACACCATACATAAAATTAACTCAAAATGGATCAAACACCTAAATATAAGAGCTAAAACTATAAAACTCTTAGAAGAAAATACAGGAGTAAATCTTTATGACCTTGGGTTAGGCAAAGGCTTTTTAGATACAATACCAAAAGCACATGTATCAAAAGAAAAGATAAATTGGACTACATCAAAATTAAACACTTTGAAATGCACATAATACCATCCAGGAAGAACAAAGACAACCCACAGGAGAAAATATTTGCAAATTATATAACTGATAAGGTACTTGTATCCAGAATACATGAAAACGTTTACAACTAAATAATGAAAACACAATCCAGGGCCATCCAAGTGGCATGTTGGTTAAGAGCTGGCTTGGGAGCGCCAGCTCTGAGCAGCAGGGCCCTGGTTCAGATCCCACATGAGGGCCAGTGATGCTGTGCCTTCTACAGCTAAGATGGTGAACAACAGCTCCACCTGGAGCTGGGCTGCTGTGGGTCACCAGTGATGGCGTAGACTGCAGCCCCTGCTGCAGTGGGCTGCCGTAAGCTACTGTGAGTGGCCAGCAGCCAGCGTGAGCTGCTGTGAGCCATTGTGAGCAGCTGTCCAGTGGCCAGCAACCCATCTGCCTTACCGGGGAAGAGCACAATGATCACAATACCAACATGGGCCAGTGAAGTGACATCCTCCACAACTAAACTGAAGAGCAAAAGGACAACAACTTGTCTGTTCCCCTTCCCCAATTCCCCAATTAAATCTTTTAAAACAAAAAACACAATCTAATTGAAAAATGCACTAAGGATCTGAATAGATACTTCTCCAAAGAAGATACACAAATGGCCAAAAGCACATCAAAATATGGTCAATACAGGTGGCCATCAGGGAAATACAAAGAAAAACCACAGTGTGATACCACTGCAAACCCACTAGGATGAATACAGCAAAGAAGACAGGCATAACAGGTGCTGGTGGGGGTGCGAGGTTGGAACCCTCATACATTGCTGGTAGGAATGTAAGATGGTGCAGCTGTTGTGGAAAATAACACATTTTGGTAGTCCCTCAAAATATGAAACAGCAATTCTACTCCTAGGTATATACCCAATAAAAATTAAAACACGCATCCACATAAACATATATGATTCTTCACAGTAGTATTATAACAGCCAAAAGGTTGAAACAATTCAAAAGTCCATCAACTGATGAATAAAATGTGGTTTATTCATACAATGGAACATTATTTGGAAAAAAGGAATTAAGTATGATACATGCTCCAACATGGAAAATCTGTCCTAAGTGAAAGAAGCCAATAATATAGGACAACACATTATATGATTCCATTTATATGAAATGTCCAGAGTAGGTAAATCTGCAGAGACAGAAAAGATTACTGGTGACAAAGGCTAGGGATGGGAATGGGGACACTGAGGAGCAGATTTATTTTAGGAAGCACAAAAGTGTTCTAAAATTAGATTGTCGTGAGGGTTCACCATCTCGTGAATATACTAAAAGCAACGAATTGTACACTGTAAATGGGTGAATTGTATGGTATGTGAACTATGGCTTAATAATATGATTGTTTTAAAAAAATCATAACCAAACATAATATG